GTGGCCATCCCCCCCCGGATGGATTTCTCACTTTTTCTCTGTCTCTTTCTCTCTGTCTCCCATGAGCACACTGCGCCCTGTAGCAATAAATCCCCCCAAAAGGGGGCGGGGGCGCTTTCAAGTTGCCCACCCAAAGATCACAACTAAAATGAATTGCCTTCAGTGTCTACACTTGCGGCCCTGGCCCTTATAGCAGGAGACTGGGAAAGGCCGAGCTTCAAAAACCTGTTAGACCCTCCCTCCTCCCCCTAGGCCCCACCTGCCTCTGATTGCCCTCTAGTGTCCAGAACACCCCTTCCTGGGCACAGGATGCGGAGGGTATCCATTTCCCCACCCTGAGCTTTTTCTGTTCCCTTGTCTTCTCTGTCTCTAAAATGCCCCCTCCTTAACCTGAGCCAAGAGTATGATTCTTCACGCTCCCCAGCCCAGGCCTCAAGGCCTGCTTTACCTGCCCTGGGAACCTGTCCAGCTGCTTCCCCGGACAAGCTGCTCCTCTCGCCACCTGACGCCCTCTAGCCTCTGCTGGTTTCCGGTAGTAACCAGTGTGTGCCGAGCACCTGCCCCATCGCGGAAGCTGGGCCTGACCCCGGGGCCATAGTCCCAGTCCTGCTCTGCTTCCCCCCACCTGGGGCCCCTGGGGCTGGAGGTGGCACGTTTGGAGCAGGCTGACACTGGGTCTCCTAGGCATATGCTCCCTTCCCCGGCCACCCAAGGGGCTAGAGTGCTTCTTGTGGGAACCCCTGGGGGCTAGGACCGAGGCAGCCCTGTCTGGTCACAGCAGGCGGCACAGGGTCTCCCTTATGGTGAGAAGGAGAAAGCCGAGGAGCTTTACTGCCAGCCTAACCAATGGTCTTCTCTTTTTAAATAAACGTATTTTTACTTTAGACTAACTTTCTATGGGACCAGCAGTTAGCGTAATGGCTTTGTCGCTGGGCTCCCACATAGTCAACCGCGGTTTGCATCTTGGACCCGGTGGCTTAAACTCACACCGGGTGCGTGTGCGTGCGTGCCCAAGATCCCGAGAGGAGAATGGAGGAGAAGGGATTGCGGCGTGGTCATCCCCCCAGGGGGGTGATTTCTCCCTTTCTGTCTCTCTGTCTGGCAAGCTCATGCGCCCTATAGCAAAAACCTCTCCAAAAAAATCAAAACAAAACTGTTCTCTGGGACCAGTGAGATGGCATGGTAGTTAAGACAGCTAGGTCTCACATGGCTGACTGTGCAGTTCAAGTCCGGGACCCGGAGGCTCGGGAAGCACGCTAGGCACGTGCGCGTGCACACCCACAATCCCAAGAGGAGGATGGAGAAGGGGTTTTGGTGTGCATCGCTCCTGTGGTTGCTTTCTCACGTCTTCTCTCAGTGAGCACACATGCTCTACAGCAAATTAAAAAGAAATAAAGTCTATTTAAAATTTAAAAAAGATTGTTCTCTGAGAGTCATTCGATTTTTGAAAAAAAATTAAAAAGTTTTTAGACGCTAGATGGGGGGCCAGCAGGTGGCATAGTGGTTTAGGCGCTTGACTCCCATGTGGTTGACCATAGTTCGAGTACTGGACCTGGCAGCGTGTCCTGAATTCCCAGAGGATAATGGAAGAGGAGGGATTGCAGTGTGGCCCTCCACTCTGGGGGGTGATATCTCTCTCTCTCTCTCTCTCTCTCGTGAGTGTACACACCCTATGGCAAATTCCTTAAAAAAATAGTGGTTAGATTGGATAATTGAAGATCTCTAGGGAGTGGGAATTTGAGGAGGACTTGAGCAGAGGTGGGAAGGGGTCTGAGCAACCAAGGCAGGGCGGAGGGTTTGGAGAGCACAGTGCGAGGGGGGCCAGGGGAGAGGTCAGCAGGGCGAAGTCAGGTGTGCCAGCTGAGAGATGCCCCTCCTGTGATAGAGACCCCGGGGTCATCGCCCACACCCCAGGAAGGGGCTCAGAGCCGCACTGCCCAGAGTCCAGGACAGTGGGACTAGGACCCGGGTTGCTGCCGCTCTGCCATACTGTAGCGGAGGCGGTGTGCTGCCATGAGGCACCTGTCAGGCCTTCAAACTGTGACCCCGGGTCCCCTTTCCCTTAACTTCTCACCGCGTTCTGTGGACTGCCCTGTGAGGTGTGTGTTGCCCCATTTACAGATAAGGTTAGCAGCTAGGCTTGAGATCCCAGAGCCAGTGAACACGTGGGACGTGGGACCGGCGGAGGGCATAGTGGCTAAGGCGCTGGACTCCCACATGGCCGACGGCTGTTCGAGTCCTGGACCCAGTGGCTGGAAACTCATGCTGTGCACGTGTGCATGGGTGCCCAAGATCTTGGGAGGAGAATGGAGGAGAAGGGACAGTGGCATGGCCATCCCCCCTAGGGGGCGATTTCTCACTTTCCCTCTCACTGTCTCTCTCTCTGGCAAGCGCTCATGCCCTAAGGCAAAAAAATCTCTTTTAAAAAGTGGAACATTTTAAAAGAGCCCTGGGATGCCTCTGAGAACAAGATAAACCCTCGTTCGCTGTGACCCGGTGGCCGTGGCCCTCGTTCAGCCTCGCCCGCTCGCCCGCTCCCGGCACCACCTGTGCTCCAGCGTGGGTGTGCGCTCCCCCGAGCACTGGAGCTATTTTTCCCAGTCGTTTTTTTCCTTTTAATTTTCTGCAGGGTGCATGAGCTCGGCAGAAAGAGAAAGTGAAAATGAGAAGCTCCTGCCCGGGCATCGCCACGCCATGGTCTCTCCTCCATTGTCCTCTCAGGATTTGGGGCACACGTGCGCGCATACACAGCTGTGTCCTTCCGTCCGCCGGGTCCAGGATTTGAACCACACTGTCGGCAATGGCAGATCCAGCCACCTTAACCACCACACCCCCGCTGGCCCTTCTCTTCCTCTCCAGCTTTCTCTTCCCTTGCCCCAACGAAGGGCTTTAATTACTCATTCCTTTTTTTTTTTTTTTTTGGAGAGGTTTTTGCTG